AAAAAGCTGCCTTAACTAGAACGCTTGAAACTTTTAATTTAAATCTACGGTGTCTCCGAAACACGCATACAAGACCGTACTTCAGTTATCACCTTGTGTTCTCCAGATCCAACCTGAGCCTCAAGTCTCGCTCTCCTTGTGTCCGGTGATTCGGCATCCGAAGCACGCGGTGTTGCTGGTGTTGGTATAGCGCTAAGCGTCAAGGCTGAGCGATCGCTTCTCGACTGTGCGCTGTCTAGATGGTTCGCTACGGGTCAACAGTTACAGAGCGAAGCATCGGTATTGATTTGTTGCGTCGGACGAGCCAAAAAGGTGCCTAGGCGGACCGCAATCCCAGGCAACCGGATGGGAGGTCGCCTACTTTAACTCTAGGCCGACCACAGATTGTTTCTATCGAGCGCCAACCTTTCCCACAAAAGAAACTGGCTCCTCTTCAGGGTGATGGACTCAAATCGACCACCTGTGGAGACGGACTGCGCTTTGTTATTAGCCAGATTCTCACTACGCGTAACGAACAACAGTAAATAAGCCACAGGACGGATGCCCACAATACGATGTCAGTAGTAGTTACCAATTGGTCGTCGAAGCGGAGCTATTCGATCGCCTTTCGGTTCAACCAAGTGACGAAGGATTCAACGAACTTTGGACGTTAATTGAGGAAGGTAGCCAACGCCCATCAAAACGACGGTAGATTCTGCCGCACGATCAAAACACAAACGATCGATCTCATCTACCGCGGACATCCTATTGGACGCCCGCGGAACCAGTCCTCCAGAAACCGAATAAGACAAGGTGCAAAGCTCTAAAACGTCAGCACACCAGGAGTATGAGCAATGACCGGGAGTAGTGGTGGGTAGGAAAGTGTCGAGATCGACTATCAGCAATAGTCACACTCTTTTCTGTCTTATTGAGAGTATGGGCCCAATGAAAATAGGTCTAAGTGCGTAACGGCACACTGATTCACGGTCATCAACGCAGTCCTGAACGATGGGTTGAACACCTGGAGGCTCAGTTTAACTGCCCCCCATCGACATTAAGCCTGTCAACCCCTACGTTGCCTGGGCGACTGCTGTCAGTTGATATCAGTCCTCAATCTGAAACAGAAGTTTCCCGGGAAGTTAGGTAATGCTTCCGACCCCGAGAGGCTGTCCCCATAGGTTGTTAAGAATGGAGGTCTAGCCTTAGTCTTGGACTTAACGAAACTCCTGGGTTCAGAATGGGAGAGAAAGCAGGTGGTAACGGAATGGTAAGAATCGGTCAACTGGCGGATATACAAGAAAGGCGACAAATCCTCTTGTGAAAACCACAGAGGAACGAGTTTAATCAACTTCGCCTTAAGACTTCTAAGGGGCATCACACTCCGCTGATTGTCTGCCGCACGTGAAAAGTGCACGCGTGGGAATCAGGCTGGTTTTAGACCTGGTCACCACATTTTTGCTCTTCGTCAAATTTTGAACACAGACATTCCTTTAGTAGACCCAACGTTTTTCTTCCTCGATCTGAAAGCAGCTTTCGACTCAGTCGACCGTTCTGTCCCTTGGCGCAGCCTCTCTTTGTGAAGCGTGTACGCGAGAAACTAATTTCCGTTTCTCTATCTTCTTATACTAAAGCCAACACCGATTCTGAGCATGCAGCAATTTTTCGCCTGAGTTTACTATAGATAGTGGAGTTCGTCAAAGTTGTCCTCTCTCTATTTCCATTTAACTTTGTTATAGATATAATTATGGAAACAGCGCTCTCCTCGTATGAGGATAGCGGAATTCATGGACTCACACACTGTCTGAAATGAAGTATACAGACGACTAAGTACTAAGTGAGGATCTAGCTAAATTGCAGGCTTTTCCGGATAGTTTGAGTGCTAGTGTATCTATGTTTGGTATGTGTTTTGCACCTACAAAGTGTCGAACGTCGCTACAGGACTGTGTTGATCAAGCTCTCAACATCACTCACTTTTGCTACTTGTGCAGCTACATCCCACGCGGCGGATGAAGTGTCAGCTCGCATACAGAAGGACCGATTGGCATTTGCCAACTTGAGATATCTATGGCGCTGTTCCGATATCTGGATGTCTGTGAAGGATTGAGTGTATGCAACAGTAGTTCGGTTGGTTCTGCTGTACGGTGCATAGACTTAGCCATTAAGTGAGCCGGATAATGATAGTCTGTCGGCGTTCGAACACCGCAAACTACATTCAACTTACCTCTAGAACTAATTGACGAACAGCGTCTTCAGTAGGTTCAGGGGACAATGACAACAAATGCAAGAGACTTCTGTCAGATGCCTGAAAAAAAACAGACAGGAAGATCATAAATAATTCTAATCATTGCTTAAATCAAATGTGAATCTCAAAATATACCCAAAGATTATCGGGACTATACACACGGTGGTCATCTAAGCCGAAGAAAAGTAGCCGATGATTCAATGAGAAACAAATACTGTAAAAGTCCAGAAAAATAGGACTAAGATGCCTTCAAATCAAATGGTGCCGAAACGTAGGTAAACGAATCAGTCACCTTGACGAACTGCAGTACACAAAACTACAAACACCTGCTTGTTGTTAACAGAACAAATTACTCCTCTAGGGTTGAACAGTAACTGAACACATTTAAAGCACTATGGCTACGGATGGCCAAACAGGAGAAGAAACGGTACCGACAAAACATCGCCAGATGAATCTACCGAACACATTAGTAACCTGTGACGATGTTGCGACTGACGTTAGGCAAGAATTAACTGTACGATCAATTGTTGTATTTTAGTAAGATTCAGAGGGAGAACACCTTGTGGTAGACTAGATTTTTAATTTCAGCCAATTGGAGAAACGTCTCGGGCCCAAAGTGCACAAAGTAGTCAAGAGTGGACTATATATAAACTAAATTTTGGGAATAGTCCGACCACCTTTTTATCCTTCTGGTACTTGGTAAAACCCCAGCCTCCTAGTATTTGGATTTCGTGAGGTACAGTTAGAACAGGAGTCGAATTCCTCACAGAATTAGCATTGGCGTCAGAAGGTTAACAAATTACAACCAGGCTTTCTCATTCAAAGGCAGCATCGAAAGCGCTTCTAGATTAACACAGTATGGTATGGCGTAACGGAAGCAGGTGTTATGCGTGCTCAGAAACCAATAGATGACAAACCATCCATTATAATACGAAGGAAGAACGTTATATATATATATATATATATATATATAGCCCCAATCTTTACAGATACAGCGCCAAAATAATCACGGGTTGAAAGAAGATCATAGAAGAACAAAAATAATAAGTTTCGAGTGGGATATAGCTACTTTTTGCTTGCTTACTGCATGCAATATCGATCTTTTCTCTTCGCTTTGGGGATTGCAGATAGGAAAATGTGCATTCAGGTTATTGACTTCGGTTCAACGTTATAAACCGCAATTTCTTCAGCCAACGACAGTCAGAATCTTTGAGACCCAGTGTGCATAACCTGACGGAAGCCAGATCTGAAAACAATTTCCCCAACCCTCTACGTCACATCATAGACTGTCCACCTCGCTGTTTCTTCCAGCCCGGACTTATGTCTGCAAACAGTACACGGTAGGGCACAGGTCCAGCCATTCGTAGGACGTGTATCAGTTTCAGGTTTAGTTTTTACAACCAATAAACATGCACTTTCGTGTGCAGGTTTTGGTTTCTATCTTTGGGTCACCCACTTGGATAAAAGGGCAGAGTGAAAATTGGAATGTTAGGAGTGAATTCAAGCGGTAGATAGATAATTCATATGAACCGAGGTTGCATGAATAATGAGTAGATGCATGAGCCTTATTGTTTGCGACATCCAGCCAGATCTCTCAGTGTTTCTGATGATTAGTGGCTATGATCTCGGGGTCCCCACCAAGGGAGCCTAAGGGATCTATTTGACCCAGTCTCCTGGTTAGGGTTTCCATAAACTCATGCCAGGTCTTAGTTTGACCGCCATGGTTCTTTTTCCAACAGCTTCCTGCTTTGCCGTGGCAACCTATCTACCTTCCTCTGAAGGGAATGCCCGAGAAGTTTATTTCAATATTACAATCATTCTACAATAATAGAAGAAGCCGAGTTCGAGCTTACGGTACTTTTTCACCCGAGTTCACCACCTAAAGTGGTGTTCGTCAGGGTTGCCCTTTCTCTCCTTTTCTATTTAACTTTGTCGTAGATTCAATTCTTGAAACAGCCCTATCCTCGTGCAAGGATAGCGGTATCGATTTACTTCCGGGTGGCAGACTGTCTGATCTAGAGTACGCAGACGACATTGTGCTACTAAGTGACGATCCAGGTAAGTTGCAAGCATTTCTGGATAAGTGCAGACGACATTGTACCAAGTGAAGATCCAGGTAAGTCGCAAGCTTTTCTGGATGGTTTGAGTGCTAGTGTTGCCATGTTCGGTATGCGTTTTGCAACTTCAAAGTGTAAGACGCTGCTCCAAGACTTCGTTGGCCCAGTCCCTAATCTCACTCTAACTGGGGAAGTAGTAGAGGAAGTAGACAAATTTTGCTATCTAGGCAGCTATATCTCACCCGGCCGACGCATCACAGATGAAGTGTCGACGCGCATACAAAAGGCTCGATTGGCATTTGCCAACTTGAGACATTTGTGGCGCCATCGCGACATCCGGCTGTCTGTGAAGGGCCGAGTGTATGCTGCAGCAGTTCGGCCACTCCTGCTCTATGGTGCAGAGACTTGGCCACTAAAGGAACAGGATAAAAATAGATTGTCGGTGTTCGAACACCGCTGTCTACGTAGCATTGCACGTGTCTGGTGGGGTAACCGGACTAG